TTTCAACCTTGGTGAACTTCAGCCCTCTCCAAAGAGTTCCTGCAAGTTTTTAGATTGATTTTAAGAGGCACTTACCCAAACTGGTGAAAACGTAGTGAGAATTACATTTGGATGAGGCTTTATCAATTCTGTGCAGTACCTAGGTACTTTCTGGTAGGCTTCTAAATAAGATTGTGTAGAAGGATCTCCAGGGACTGGGAGAGGGAGGTGAATAAGCTTAATTCCTTTACACCTCCGCCTAAAGTCAGCAAAGGGAGCCCTACTCCCACCTAGAGACCCACCATTCGCATTATAGACTAGGCTGCTCTGTCCCAACCGAGTTGTTCCACACACGTGGCAGAATTCATCAAGCTCTGGGCAGGGGCCACCTTGTCTTACTACCACTGGAGATCAAGTACTTCCAAAATCGCTTTCTTTTCCCTTCATAAATTAATTTAGTTTCCTGTATTTCCACTCTTTTAAGTGTGGAAACATCAGACCACTCTGCACAGTGGTGAGTCATGAAGAGATAGATGAGAGATTTATCAAGAAAGGGGAAAGTGCCAAAGGCTCTTTGAAACTCCTGAGGATCTGTTTACATTACCAAGCAGTATGGCCCAACAAGAGTAAATTTGTAGAGTTTGTCTCACTTCTGAAAATGCAGCATCTAACCTACATGCATTTGGGTGGGTAGGGGATGCTCTGAACTCTCTCCAGTCTAGTCTCACTAGCCGGGACATGTTAAATATGGTCTTGGAGCAAATCTCCTCATTTAGGCTTGTTTGAAAGAAGCGCAGCTTGTGCACTCTGTGAACCAAAGCATTGTAAGTGGCAATAATTGGGAGATTTTTTTTTTTGTTATTATCATTTTTTCCCAAAAAGTGCACTCCTGACAAACTACAACATTGATGTAGGTACACCTTTTAGGAGCAGCTATAATAGAAAGGATCTGCAAGACAGTAAAGCAGTAATCAAAGGCAGAAAGACAAGTAAGAAAGAGGGTAGAATCTCCAAAAGTAATAAGCCTCATTAAAACTGGAAAACAGAAAGGCAAGAATGGAGTGCAAAGTGCTCTGGGATTTCTGGCTACCTTTCTAATGACAGCTGGAATGAAAGCCTGAAAGCCACTAGTCAGAGCACAGCAAAATGAAATTTACTGAAGAGAAGATGAATGTAGTGGAAGCATATAGACTACTATACACTTAAATGCAGAAGACAAGCTGCTGAAACAAGGACAGAAAAACTGAAAATTAAATGGTGAGGATGCGAGCAGTGGCTAGGAGGAGCTGGGATTGAGCAGAGCAAATATTTTCAGTTGAATGCAGTCCAAACCCATGTATCAGGAAAATGGGAAATTTGAGATCCCATGATTTTTTGATCTTCCCATTTTGTTCTGTTCTGCCATAGTCTTGTAACTTTACATTTGCCTGTCCCCTGTGGAGAAAGTCATACCATTGTAATGCCATACCTTATTTTCATGATTATGGCTATAGTTGAAATATAGAGTGACTCACCAACAGTATTTCAGCTGAGTGAACACAATGATTCTAATAACTGTCTGCTAATTAGCAGGTTTTTGAGATAAAGACAGTTGAATAGCTTGCATCCTCTGACACCCCAAATTAATAACGCTCCAGTAGCAAATAATAAAGTGGTAGAGATTGGCATTATTACTTTTTGGTACAGTACAAAATAGATTAAAATGAATCTGGCTTGTTTATCTACACAGCCTAGACCATTTTAAAATGCTAAAGATCTCTGCCTTGGCTCTAATATATGATGCCCTAGAGAGCTCTATATAAAGCTAGAAGAACTGCTCCTAAAGCAAGATTCAAAAATTTCTAGATTACCGTTTTATGAATAAAATTAATTAACCAACAATTCATTACATTCTAAAAGCTTCATCTGACCATAATAAACCTTGTTTGCAGCCCAAACAGTATTTGGTAATTGCAGAATGATGGAGCAATGTGGATATTTTTTGATTACAGTTTATTGCATAAGATTACAAGGAAGAATTTGTCTTTGAATCATAATGAAAACTTAATTGACACCACTATTCTAAAATATTTCCAATGATTAAATTTCAGTCTGTCTCTTAATCAGTTTTATATTAGAAAGAGATTTAAACAAGATAATGCTGTGAACATAATTTCATTGCATTATAAAACCTTTGGCTGGATCTCATAAGTAATTAAAACTCCAGCCATCTTGGAAATCTGACACAAATGCAATTCTGATTTTAATATTCTTTAAGATTATACAGCTTCAAGTTTCTTTTATTTTTCTCTACTACCGTTAATCAAATTTAACCTTCCCACCCCCATAAATAGTCTACAATTTATACTTGCATGATAATTTCAGGAGGGATAAATGCCAGACAGCAGAATCATGCCTCAGGACATAAGTTAAACTGAAGCAACAGCATGAGTAATATTACAAAATGCGGTTACTTTTCTATGCAGTATGTGCAATGATTCCCAAAGACTGCTTTCTCTTTCACTCTATCCAGAGGTGCTCTTAGCTGAGGCTGAATGTGCTGAGAGCTCATTCAAATATAGAGCAGTCATCACGTAAGCTGGGGCCTCCATCCAGTAAGGCATTTCTACCACGAGCTCACGCTTATTTCAGAGGCTTTTCTCAACACTGTATTTAATAAAATAACAGACAGATAATCTCTTGTGCAGATAACAGGATGCATTGCACAACTACAGTGCTGCCCGTCCTTTATACAGACACAACTGGTCGCAAGAAGTTTTAAAGCGGCAATAGCACATTTTGAACTAAAATACCTGGAGGGAAGGACACAGAGCCACCCTCTTCGAAAATGCCATGCAGTTGTGATTCAGCCTGCCCAGTGATAGGCAACTACTACTTCACTTTCAACTAAACTCTTTCTGACACCTACGAAGATCTCACAGCTTGAATTAGGAGTAACTCATCAAATCACTGAATCAGTTGTCATTTAAAGGGTCCAGCTGGCTTGTATGCTAGAGGCACAGTCAAGAGAAGTGCAAAATTCAGGCTCCTGTCGAACAGCTAATTGCCTAACAAGGAAGTAAGAAATTAAGAACTGTCTGGGGAAAAAAAAAAGTTACTTGCGCTATGTTGCCTGGTTCACTAAAATTTAATTCCCTGTGTTAAAACCTGTCGTAACTCTTGATAAAATGATTAAAACCACACAGCCACAATATCTTGGTACAGGCTTATTTCTTACTACAAGCTATAAGGAACACAAACTACAAACCAATGGAGTACATTTTGCCCATTACTTAATTAAAATCTGCCATTTGCAAGAGTGTTCTAAAAATTTTTCTCTGAAAAAGCTGTTTTAAAGGAGTATGTGAAAAATGGATAAAAACCCCTTGTATTTGTGCCAATAAGAAAAAAAATCAGAATAAAAAGATGCTACAGCTGCTATTAGACATGACTTCTGGATTCCATGACAGAGACAATTTACTCAATACAATTATCTAGTGTATGTTAAAATACCTCAATAGACTAATCAGACCAAACAAAAGCCAAGCTTATAGCACTCACTGCAAGGTAGCACGTATTTATATAGAGTGAAGGTTGGGAATACATATTGTTTATGTGATGCATAGACATATTTTTTCAGTGATACATATATATATATACACACACACACGTATGTATAAAATGGATAATAATTCTAGAATCAAGCAATACAAGTGCAGGGAATGCAAATTTAAAGTACATTTACAGGAAATCTATATGTATGTAAATACGGTTATGGCCTAATGAATTTTCTATTCGCTGCAGAATAGCCCAGCTCCTGTCTGAATGTCAGAGAACACCCCCTGCACTGAATAGCATCATGACAATTTTCTGTTTCTAAGTGACATCAGAGTATGGAGAAATGCATGTGTGTTCGCAATAAATAAGGGTAGCATATTAATTGTTTCCCCTCCCAAGTATCAATTCCATGATAGTCTTGAGTACTAACTTGCCAAGAGTAAAAGGAGTAAAATAGTGAAATACAGACACCATCAATAAAAAAAAATGTTTATTTTTTTCATTAAAAATATTTATACATAGTTTTGCTTTGTTTATGTAAATAAATGTAAGTTTAAAACTCAAGTTTAAACATTGGGATTTCAAGAGCACAAATTTATTGACTTCAAAATTAATTTCACCTTATCTGGCACTCCTTTCTCTGGAACTCTCAGAAGGCATTTTACAATAGGTTGAGCTGGTAATAGCTATCCATTACCAAAAGAAGCAGTCCCACCTGCCCTACGATCTGGCCCCTTCTTGTGCTGAGATGCTGTTTTGCCTTAAACTACGCTATTGCTTGTCTAACTCTTCAGTGACCAGGTCAGGGAGCTAAACTAGTGGGGAAAAAAAAAATCCCAGGACAATCAAATAGGCCTTAATTGATCTGAACACTATCTTCTGTTAAATAATATGTCCTCACCAACTTTTGGTGAGGCCAAGAGGAAATGGCCTCGAGTTGCACCAGGGGAGGTTTAGATTGAATATTAGGAAAAATTTCTTCACCAAAAGGGTAGTCATGCACTGGGCCTGGCTGCTCAGGGAAGTGGTTGAGTCACCATCCCTGGAGGTATTTAAAAGACGTGTAGATATAGTGCTTAGGGACATGGTTTAGTGGTGGACCTGGCAGTGCTAGGTTAATGGTTGGACTTGATGATCTTAAAGGTTTTTTCCAACCTAAATGATTCTATGATAAAACCTGGTTTAGGAAAGCTGCATTGAAAAGCTACATAAAAAGAACAGTAATTTTCTCAAGTTTAGCTACTCAAAGCAGGGTAGGGCTAGATGAGCACCAGAAGATTGACACAAAAGGGGCTGAAATTTGTCACCAGGTCCAAGGGAGAGAGTAAGACAACTTCTTTGCTCAGCAGCTAGTGACAAGACCATCTTAACTGCATTATGAAAGCATACACTTAGAGGTCATAGAAGAACAGACAACAGTCTCTCCTGTCTACAACACATCACAACAAAATTTCACATTGCATACCATGGTTTATTTCCTACACCTTTGACAGACTAACAGGAGACATCCTGAAAAGTAACTCTGCTTGTTATTGCCAGATCTTGATTTCTCCAGCCCAATCACATGTTGCAAGGAGCGATGGCAAGACTGGGTGAAATATTGCACTCACACAAGCTTCTTTATGTGCAGACAAAGTGCGAATAATCCTAGCAGTATGATAGTTGTAGAAAAACACTTTGCCATCTGAACTTCCTGTCACCAAAAGTGTTCCATCTGGAGAAAATTCACAGCCCACTGCAAATCCTTCCACCTGTGAAAATCAATAACAGTGTAACTCCTGATGCTGATTAGAAAAGTTCATTGTGATATACTGAAAAAGAATATAGTACAAAAAAAAAAAAAAAGTATCTTTAAATAGATATCCACTAAGGACTTCTCCAGGTGTTTAAGACGCAGCTATAACACAAACTTATTTAAGCAAGCCATTAAGTATTCATAAAGTCTTCTAATAACTATTTTCTTCAGAGTGCATATGATTCAAAATAGACTGGCACACAGGAAAGCAAATGAAGCCAATTAATATCTATCACTGATTTATAATCAAACACTATTAGCAGACACATTGAAAAGCACAGGTACTTTGCTATCTATCTCCCTTCCAGACTTGGATACTAAGTTCCCGGTGAAGAAGGATACCTTATGTCCTTCATATCTTTTCTTTTTGTTGATTCGGTAAGGTCGCTGGGCAGAAAACAAAGCCATGTAGTTCCCGTTTGTCTGAGCAACAAACATAGACTCTTTTGGGTGCAGAGTTAGACTTGGGCAAGTATAACGCTCCTGAAAATAATTTTAAAGAAAGTTTTGTTGTATGAAACAAAAGATTTGTTCAAATGATTCAGGTTATCTTTTGACATATTTGAAAGACCATAAAAGGTAAGGCATACATAAGTCACCTCCGTAGTATACATTATAAAAAGATACTTATTAGAATCCACTGAAAGTCTCACACCAAGACAAATATTAAATCAAATCTCTACCCCAATTCCCTAGATACTGAGCAAAAGCCCATCTCTCCCTGAACCATAATTATACTGCAGAACAGCTGCAGAAAGGTAACTCCAACCTGACAGTACACAATCATCCTCTTCCTGCCCAAGGAAAACTGAAGTTTGAATGTGAAAGTTTGAGTCCTCTTCTCCCATACCCCTTCCTCCATAGCCATACTGTGCCTTACATGCTACTTCGTACAGTTCTCAAATCCTCCATCCTCTCTGTTCTCGCCACACTGACAGGAACAGAAATCAGCCCATTTAAAGAGACACCTTACCCCCCCCCCCTCTTCAAAAAAAAAAAAAAAGAAAAAAATAGGGGTCGTTATTAGCCTACTAAAGTCAGAAGTTCCTTATGACAGTGATTTGCCATGTAGGCTGCTGCTGGCTGTAAATTCATAAATATCTGCAAAAATGAATAACACTTGGCTTTACCCTAGTATTCCTATTTAAGACTGAATTAAGATTACTTTCAAAACTCCGCATGGTGACTACATCAGAAATCAGCTGCTCTTGCAAGGTTTCCACCAGGTCCAAACCTTTTCTAGTTTCAGCCTAACTTAAAGACACAGTGCTGAATTTTGATGCCACGAATACCAATTAAGAGAGCGCTGGTTGTAGGATGCATCTGCATGTGAAGGACACCAGGCTGACAGTTACCACTGGACACCCTGGGCTATGTGGCAGAGTGGGAAGAACATCAGACTGGTTTTGTTGTTTGGTTTGGAAGTGATGAACTGAAACAGAAGTTCTGGGGTTTGTAAGGTAGTGGGCACAGAAACCAAAACAGGGTTAGGCAGCGTGCCTGGTTAGCAGCGTGCTCCGTGGCAGAGCACTGCATGCTTCTGGGGAGAAACTGGGTCTAACAGTAAGGCATCAGAAAGTGTAATGCAATCTGCAGGAGCACTGTGCTGTTATGCTAGGTATACTGTAGTAATGGGTTATTTTAGAGCTCTGAATTATTCATTTGTTAATGCAGACAAGCAATAGATCAAGCCCTGTTGGGATCTAATCTGTTTAGAGAGCTCAGAGGTTACCTCCCACCTTGAAGGGTTCAAAGGTGAAATTCAGAGAAGTGAAGCAGAGTTTCCAAAATTACCACCAAGTTTTGTGTATTCACAGTGCAGAAAAGGGGGAAAACAGTCCATTTCAGAGATGCTGCAGTCGTGAGAAGGTAGGCTGTGGGGGTCTGTTTGTTTGTTTGTTTGGCAGGGGATAAGGAGAAAAAAGTTGTTTGGTTTTTACTTCTTGATACTGAACCTGACTGGTCTGTACTTTATACATTCACAGCTTTTTTTTTTTTTCCCCTATTGCCTATCCAAGATGCTGGTAGATCCAATATTGGACAAAGACATAACTGTGGAAACTAAACATGAAACAATCTCACTAGAGTATCAACTACATGTCCTTGTTAGTAGAGAACTGTTCATTTCAGCCAAAAAGCTTCTACATACAATCCAATCATATTATATTACATAAGATATTAGACTTAGGTTTTTAAAAAATACCCAGGGAGTTGGAATTATCTGTTAACTTCCTCGGGAATCTCCTTTGAAGCTGTCAGCCTTTCTAGACCATTTAGTCCATTAAATATCTTGACTGGATAGATTACTGAGAGAAATACTGCACCTGCACTGACAAAAGTAAATTTTGCCTCTGTGATTATGCTGTACTAGGTATCTATATGCAGGTATCAGGTTGCTGTTGCTATTTCTATGCAAATATTAAACTCAATTTGTCAATAGCCCTCATTGCAGCTGATGAAAAATGTATGAAAAAGTGTAGGAAAAGAAATGTGGCACTATAGCAACTGCTGCCATGCACCATTGGCAAGCTAGAATGACACTGCGGTGGCCTTGCCTAAATATAGCTTAGATGTCAGTGAATGAGCACTGAAATGCAAATATTTTTAACACACAGAGACCTATCAGTCTTCCAGGTCATTTTTTAAGAATAAGTAAGTGTTCTTAAAATGTAAAAATAAAGCAAGCCCTCAACTTACATTAAGAGCATTTTATACATCACACAATGATCTTACAGAAAATCAAAAGCCTTGTTTTTACAACACCGACAGACGTGAAATGCTAAATCATGACCCAAAAAATACTAGTTGTTAAACTTACATGAAAAATCTGATTGGAGATTTTCGCAGAACTTTGAAAGTCCCATGCAATAATGGTACGATCAGCTGAGTCCCGGCTTACTGCATCTGTGCTTGTAAGAAATTCTCTTCCTTCAGGGAGAAAGAGTATATCCAATGTCTGTTGTACTGCAGCTTTGTACACTCTTAACACCTAGTGGATAAAAAAGTTCGTTATTTTTTGACAGATTAGAAGAACATGATAACCTATGTTTTCTCTCTTTGTATTAATAACTATCTCCAACAAACTACATATTATTATAAAATGGGAAAAAGTAACTGATCTTTAAATGTTGAAGTACTGGTGTATTAGATAGCTTGTTAATGTATGTAAAGAGTCCACACACAGAAAAATTAAATGAGATAAAAGAAAGCACCAATCTGTACAATTTATATATTGTATTTATATATACATAGATCCTGTTATAAATTCCTAAGGAGTTAGAGTTAGATCCAGAAAGAGCTTTAGACAACAACGTTGTGGAGCTGGGTCTACACAAACTCCCTTTTATTTCATGAACTCTTCTAGATTCTCTAGAAGAGGCAAGGGAATCTTTGGCAGCAGGCTGGCCAACTTAGTGAGGCTGGCTTTAAACTGAAGGACTCAGGGCAGGGTCCAAAGTGGCAACACTACGCCATTGCAACCAACTGGGGAATAAGCCAGGCCGACCAAAGCAGCGACAAATGCATTAGCTGCTTCCCAAGACGAGAACCAGAAGACCAACCACCTCAAGCGTATGTATACCAACACACACAGCCTGGGGATCAAACAGGAGGAACTGGAGCTCTGCGCCCAGTCAGAAAGTTATGATATCATAGGAATAACTGAAACATGGTGGGACAACTCACACGTCTGGAAGATTGCAATGGATGGCTACAGGCTGTTTCATAGAGACAGGCAGGGGAGAAGAGGAGGGGGGGGTGTGCTCTATGTTAAGGAGAACCTTGAACATATAGAAGTCAACTACAGCGATTACAGAAGCCCTGTTGAATGCCTCTGGGTCAATATCAGAGCGGTCATCTCCCGGGGATCTTACAGTAGGCATCTGCTACCGACCTCCAAACCAAGACGATAAGGCAAACAAAGCAATATTTGGGTCACTTAAATAAGCTTCGGGTCAACAGAACTTGGTTCTTATGGGTGACTT